CAGAGACAGCACCTTTGCAATCACCTTGTAAATACTGGTGACCAAACTTATTGGTCTGAAATCCCCTGGTTGGTTGGCATTATTCCTTTTTGGGATCAGAGCTAAAAAAAAGTGGAATTCATTCCCGGACGTATCACCCCTCTCCTATAGAACTCATTAAACACCCTAACCAAGTCTCCTTTAATTATCTCCCAACAATCTTGATAGAAGGCCATTGTGTAACCGTTGGGTCCTGGAGATTTTGATCTGTCCATAGAAAAAACTGCCTCCTTAATCTCTCCCTCTTCAAACCTTTTTTCCAAAAATTGGACTTGATTCTCATCCAGAGTATCCCAATCAAAGCCTTCAATCCTCCACCTCTCACTTAAGGGTCTTCTATAAATTGATCTAAAATGCTCTGCAAAAGTTTTAGCAATCTCATCTTGATTTGTGATCTCATTTTCCCCCACCACTAAAGAGTTAATCATGTACTTCCTCCTCCCGTTTGCAATGGTATGGAAAAACTTTGTATTTCCGTCACCTTCTTTGATCCATCTTTCTCTCGACTTTTGCTTCCAGCAAATTTCCTCTCTCAATAAGGTCTCCCCTAGTTCTTTCCTCAAATTCCACCTCAACTCCTTATCACCAACATCTAAAATTCCTTCCACATCTTTGCTATCTATTGCCTCTATCTAAGAAATCAGCTCCACCTTCTCCTCCAATCTCCCAAACTTCTCCCTATTCCATTCCTTGATCTCCTTTTTTTAATAATTGAAGCTTCTTAAGGAACTTTTGGCCTTCCCACATTGCAGGTGTTACCAAACTATTCCACCGAACCTTAACTTTCTCTTTGAAATCCGGGTGAGTGAGCCACATATTCTCAAATTTGAAAGGGATTGGGCTACCATCACTAGTTCTCTCAAACAAACAGATGGACCAATGGTCTAAGGTGACCCTAGGTAGATTTCTACCGACTAAACCTGGCCAATGCTCTTCCCAATCAAGTGAGACTAAAAACCTATCAAGCTTGGATAGGATAGGGGAAGTTTGAAGGTTTGACCAAGTAAAACAAGATTGCCCAAAAGTAATATCTCTTAACTCAAAAGCTTCAATAAAGGAGTTGAACTTTTTCATACTCAATGTGGTTCTTTTCCTACCTCCTGTTGTCTCACTCACATACCTATCATCTCCAAGCTCCTCCCACAACTTCTTTTTGTCTTTATATGAGTTTGGCCCATAGACATTCATAAGAACCCATTAATAGAAACTGAGTATCTGCCGACCAGCTCTTCCAAACATTGAATTGTTTCTTCCCTCCACATTGTTATGATACCCCCCAAGGCACCCCAAGAGGGAGCAAAGCTCCAATTAATATTCCTCTCTCCCCACACACTTCTTATCAACTTCCTGAATTTTGGATTCTTGAAATAGAACAAAATCAGGTCTCTCCTTCCCAAATACCCCTTTGACTACTACTCTTTTTGTGGCACTGCCTAGCCCCCTTACATTCCAGCTAACAATCTTCATGATCACAATTAATCTGAAACCAGCCCCCCTGCATCCTATAGACCTCTCCTCCTTCCTCCCCTAGCATTGAACTCCTTATCCCCTTCCACATCACTGAGTTTTTCAACTTCATTTAACTTCCTTCTCCTCTTACCCCCCCCCCTTTTCTTTTCTTGCCCCCATTTGAGACTCCTTTTCTTTTATTTTTTTCCACTTTCAGCCCCATTTTTTTCAGCCATAGCCACCACAGGATCCATAGTACTCTGATCACATTGACTTCTTTTACTTTCTCTCGCCTCCTCCTTTTCTTTCTTCCCCTTAGTTAAGACTCTTCCAGCCCCCCCTTCATTCTCATCATCTTGTGAATGAAACAGTTTGGCAGTTTCTTTGTCCCCCTCTGTACCCAATCCCCTACCAGTCTCTGCACCTTCCTTGTCCTTCTGCCTCCTATCACCCCAAGCCTCAAAAACACCCTCCCCTCTAACCTCTCCTATTATCTCTCTCACATTCACTCCTCCTTCTGGTGGATTCATGGGCAGATCACAGCCTCGGATGGGATCTGGATATACTGTAGGATCAACATGACACAAGTTAGCATAAAAAATTAAACCAACAGTGTTATCGAAGTCACCAGAATGCTGAGAAGAAAGGGCAAATGTCTTAGACATAGGAGTTTTGGTGCCCTGTTCCTTTTGGAAATTCTCCAAACCCCTGACTTCAGTTCTAACTAGTTGGGAAGGCCTCGAAGGGTTATTTGACTTGGCCAAATCAGAGCTTGTACCCCCTCCTAGAGAGTCTTCTGTAGTCTCTTGGTTCTCTTGTCGTAACACCAATTTATCACCATGCTACTGTCCCTCATCTGGGATTAATTCCTTTACCCCCTTGGGCACCTCTAATCCCATCCTGAAAAACTGGACGATCCTTCACACCATTGATCGGTAACAGCCGTAAGACAGTAGTCGAAAGAAGAACGTCTTCAACATGTGATTTCCCCTTCTGTATTGCTACCTCCTTTTCTTCAAAGAGAGAACCTATTTGAAATTCATCCCCACTCTCTACAGTGACCTGAACAGTATCTCCAATGTCTGAGTTTCTGCTACTGGAATCATCTCCAGAGGAGAAACCATCATCTGAGTTCTCACAACGAACCCAATGATCCTCTATACCGCCGCCGTCGTCCTTCCAGCCATCATCCTTCCAGTCGTCGTCATCTTTCCAGTCCGCCTTCAACCTTTCATATCGGGGATTCGGCTTGTTAAGACATTTCCACTACAGCTGCGAGAGCTTCAAACTAGTTCGACTGTCTTGGTGTAGAGAATACTGATGTGGGCCCCACTACAGTGGTCCCCACTGTGTTCGTAGGACAGCATGTGTAGTTATTTATTCCAGTTATAGTAGTGTCAGTTTGAGTCAGTTTGTTAATTCAGTTGTTATTTATTTCAGCTTTTATTTACTTTATTTATTATGTAAGTACTAAGGGCAGATGTGTCCTTTCCATTATGTACTAAACATAACCTATAAATAATAAGAAAGTGGCAGTGGCAGATCAGAAAGAATCTGTCCCTCCTTTCAACCACTTGTGTTCTGTTTCTCTTCTATTCTCTCACCTTTTCTCTTTTTCTTCTGTTTTGTAAACCTAAAACCTATTAGAATTCAAGACTGATTACAGTCTTGATCTTCTACTCTTGGGACAATGGGGACGATGATAGATCGAAAATGTCACCCCCCATCATCCTATTAAAAGCTCCGCACGTGCACTTTATGTTATCATGTGGCCCAGGCTTAAGAGGCGGTTTAGCATGTCGGTTCAACTCAGGTTCAGCGGGTGGACCAGCTTTTTTACCCCCATCCCTCAAAATATCCACGAATGACGGTTTAGCCGTCAGTCTGACCGGACAGCGAAATTCAAAAAAAATTGGAAGAGCTCATCTTTAATGACTTAAGGCCCGACGGTTCGCCTTCTACAGCAGAACCAACATACCCTCTGCTAATTTTCCATAAACTCTTGTCCACTTGGCATCACTCTGGACACGTCACCATCTTCTCCAACCTCCTTGCCCTTCTCCTAAAGCACCATTTCAACTTCCAAAGTTAGCCAGACTCTCCACCATTGTCCACCGGAAGAAATCTCAACAAACCTCAGAACTCTCTGTGGATGAGAACCCTGAATCTTGATCTTAGCGGCTTGAAGGGATGAAAGGTTCACTGCAATGAGCGATCCTCCACAGAGATCTGCCACTTTGGAGAAGACCTCCTGCTTCCAAAGATTGAACAGAAGCCCAATCAGTTTCACTTGTAAAACCTCCTCTTCCTCCATCACGAGCTCATTGCCGGATGGAAACCAACTCTGTAGCAAGGCCCAACCTTCCCATGTCTGTATCTTAGCCGCAACCTCAAGAGGGTGACCAAGGTCCAAGATAGCAGCCTTCTTCTCAAACGGGAACAGGAATGCATGTTCAATCTCAGGAATCGTCTTCATGACATCGGCTAGGATTCCATTCCAGTCCATCACTTCCCCCTTGAGACTTATCACCTTTTTCTTTACCCAGTCTTCTAATGGTCCTCCTAATACAAGCTTTGGGCACACAATAGTTCCACTGATACCTCTTAGATTTTCTTTCTCCTCTTCAACCTGTGAGACTGCTAGGCTCATATCAGCAACTAATTTTTGGATAGGGAGGACTGATTTTCTTCCCAATCCTCACCTTCTTTGTTCAAAGTCATCGAGAGCACCAGCAACTAAAATCCAACCTTGCTTGTTTTTTCCTTCCGGTATGCAAATCACTTGCCTCTTTCCATTTCCAAATGCTTCAGTTAGTTGAATATAGGTACCCCGTTATTGCTTTTCTTCTCCACCGAGAATTTCTTCCTACCTTTCACCAATTCTCCTTTCCATTCAGGCTCTGTGATTGCAAAAATTGTTCCATCAAGGAAACCTTTAAACCAACAGACTGCTTCCCTCCCCAAGACTACAACAGATCTCTTATCTTCTCTAATTTTAATGAACATCCTCCAACTTCTTCCAGCAGAAACCTTTTCTTTTCCACAACCAATATCATCCTCCATTTTGTTGCCAGCTGAAGCTTGCCTTTGACATCATCTTCTCCCCCGTCGCCACTATTAACAAACTAGGCACTCCACTATCACACTAACTCTCATTACTCAACATACAATCTTCTCATCTTCTTCTACACTCTGACTTTCTTTAATATTACAGTATCATAAAATAAAATTGTAAAAAATATTATGTGGTAAAAATATGTGGGTCCTTGGGTATGGCGACCCTCCAAGGGTGCCTTCTCACCTAGGCATCGCCTGGACAACTATGATGAAATATGAACACAGAATCCAATCAGATGAATCTGAACCCTTAGAGATTATTCCCAACCTTCCCTATCTTATTTTGCAATTCACTTTTAGTTTGTTTATGTTGTATATTCATCACTATTAAAAATACAAATTACTGAATTAAAATGAAATAAAATCTTAAATGGTACTATAAGTTATATTCAAACCTTACAGGAAGGTAAGACCACTGCAAGAACAAAGTATTTCCCTATATCATCTCCTTTTTTACTCGAAATGTCAACTCCAATGTGATCAGCACATTTGTCCATTAATGAGTCAAGAGGAAAGCCACTTAAAAAATTCTTCCTTGAAGCAGCAAGTGATACCTGTTAATGGGTAGACAAGAAATCAGCTCTTAGAAGTTGTAACAAAAAATTAAAAAAAAAAAAGCAACAAAAAGGCCTCTGTCAGAAATTCTAAGCAAAACATTAACGACTAAGCAGCACATTAACAGAATATATAAATAAATATATATATATATATAATAAAACAATACATGCCATGTCAGCATGGCTCTCCCCTAGACCCCTACCATTTATCTATTTTTTGGTTGTTTTGAAGTTTTATTTTTAAAATTGAATAAAATAACTTAAGTGGCCAATAAATTTTAAGTCTTCAAGACTTTCATCTCTTCTCATTAACTTTCTCTTCTCTTTCTCATTAACTCCTTTAATTATCTCTCCTCATTAATCATTTTCATTCCACTAATTCTCTCTCCTCTCAATTACTCCATTAAATTGCTTAAAATTCATTGACTCTTTTTTCCTTTTTTATTTTATTCTCTCTCCTCTCCTCATTAATCTAATAAACCAAAAGCAATTTGCTTAGAAGTGACCATTTGAGTCTGGCCCTGGCCCAGGTCCACAAATTTCAATTTTCAAAGCCAAGCTTGGGCCTAATACTTCAAGGACAGTGGGGCCCATCCCAGCCCATAAACAAATAACAGTTTGAAATTAGTTAATAAAAAATATCATAAGTAGTTAAATCACCTAAAAATAATGAGAGAGAGAGAGAGACAGAATTCTAAGAAATAGGTCCCACCCCTTCAAGTTCCTTCATTAGCCTATATTAGCATATTCCTATAGGCCTCTTCCATTATTAGACTATTGTATTTCAGAGAGAGAATTTAACTAATCCAAATTCCATTTATTTCTTTCATATTCAAATTCTATTTAATTGGTTAATTGTCAGAAAATTAAAATTTGAAACCTAATAACTAAAATTAATAAAAACAATTACTGAAGTTAATAAAAATATTAAATCTTAGCAAGTTTTCTTTTTGACAAGCAAAGTGAGTATTTATTAATGATTGAGAAAGGTACAAGATTTTAGCTACACAGTAGCCCAAAAACAACAGAAAGCAGCTTGGCCACCCAAATCTGTTTTGTCATCCCCACTTTTTACTATCACAGATTACAACATTGCCCAAAATAAAGTGGATCTGTCCACTCCCTGTTTTGCTAGGACATCTACCAACCCATTTATTGTTCTTTTTACCCATCCAAAACTAGTGTTGCAAATTTTTGCAAGGAAGTCAATTTCCCTTAAGGAAAATCTATATTTCCAAGGGACTGAATTGATTTGTTTCGCCCAAGAAATGACCAATAAGGAGTACCCTTCTAATTCAAGCTCTCTAACACCCAGCTGTATTGCTAGTTTTAGTTCTTGTAATAGGGCCATTATTTCAGCCTTAACCGAATCTCCAAAATCAATTGGCCCGGAGAATAAGGCCACTACTACTCTTTGATGGCTTCTAAAGACTTCCCCTATACCTGCCCTCCCCGGATTGCCAAAGGAGGTCTATCAAAATTTAGTTTCATCTTATTTGGCCCTAGAGGTTTCCATTCCATTCTCACTGCTTCTTTGTGTGTATCATAAATCTGTTTGTGCAACTTCGGTCCATTTCCATAACAAGTCATTTGTAGAAACATCTTTGAAGAGTTCCATTGTTTTTGCTCAATGTGCATATCTGATCTTTATGGTTTCAATCACTTTCTCCACTGACCTACTCTTCTCATGAAAGATTCTTTGGTTTCTCTCTTCCTAGATGGTCCATACCAGGGCTGCTCTTGTTATTCTCCACAGACATCTTGCCTTTTCTTTTGTTGCCTCAAGAAGCTGGAATTGAATAGGCTAACCACATTCTGTGGGGGTACCCATCTGCAACCAAAAAGAGAGCAGAAGTAGTCACAAACAAACAGGAGAGTAGTAAATGAGGAAGGGTCTCACCACTGGCCTTGCAAAGGAGACACACATGAGGAGAAAGGCAATTATTTGGCCTTCTTTTCTATAGCACGTCACAAGTGCTAACCTTCCCAAGGAAACTTTCCCAACACAGAGACTGCACTTTAGCAGGGATTGGTTTGCACCAAATTTCTCTAACTAGGAGATTTACCCCGTGGGTTCTGAGCTAATAAGAAGGTTAAAGAAGGAATTACATGAGAAGTGGCCATCAGGGGAGGGGTACCAAACTCTACCATTCAAAAAGATTTTGATCTAGGAAAACCTTTTCCAAGAGAGAAAGTAGGATAATATGACAAGGGATTCACATTCATTGTCCCTCAAACCCCTTTTGATCCCAAAATCCCAGTTTAAACCATGTGTTGAAGGCTTGCCAAACCAAGAGGTTGGTTCATTCTTAAGGTTTGTTAATGAGTAAAGTGTTGGGAATTGTAATTTGAGTGGCAAATCTCCAAGTCAGAGATCTTCCTAGAATAAGACTCTGTTCCCACAACCCACATCAAAATGGATAGAATTGAGAAAAGTAGGTAGTACCTCAGAGATTTCCATCCAAGGGGAAATTGAAGCAATGTGAGGTGCTAGTTTTGCATCCCAACCATTTTCTGCTACACCATGAATGCTTCCAGATTTTGTGCCACAGTCTGTCTTCCGCTACACCATGATTGCCTTCCTTTTAATCAAGTTTCTAATTCCCAAGCCCACTTGCTACTTAGGTTTACACACTTGTACTCAATTCACCAAATGATCTTTCTTTCCATCTCCTGGCTCCTACAAAAATCCCTCATCATTTTTTCTAACTGCTTTGCAATTTTCACCAAGACTCTAAAGGTGGAAAGGTAATAGATGGGAAAATTTTCTAAGGTGGATTTGATCAACACGATTCTTCCTCCTAAAGAGATATAGCTTCTCTTCCATAAGGTTAGCTATCTAGCAAATCTTTACACTATTGGTTTCCATAAACTATTTGTTCTAGGGTTTCCTCCCAAAGGTATACCTAGATACTCTAGGGAACAATTTCTCATCTCACAGCATAGGATTTCGGCCAATAGTAAAGTGTAACCTCTCCCAAATTTATGCCAGCCACACAACTTTTTCCTCAATTGACTTTCAAGTTTGACATTCTTTGGAAGCAATCAACCAAGGCTTTTAGATTCCTTATGTTGAGCTTTGTACAACTCTCACAAAAAATGATTATGTGAGAGTCACAGCAATGAGTCACAACAACATCATTTCTTCCAATTCTCCACCCTTTGAATTGGTTTTCAAGATTAGCCTTACTCATCAATTTACTCAGGACCTCAGCAATGAGGGAGAACAAGAAAAAGGGATAAAGGATCTCCTCGCCTTAAACCTCTTTTAGCCGGGAAGAAATCTTTTGCCACACCATTGATTAGAATTGAAAAGTGTGCCAAGATAACACAACCATTTATCTACTTTCTCCATCTTTCTCCTAACCCTATTTTTTCCATCAAACTCAGGAGGAAGGTCCAATCCACCATTCATAGGCTTTTTCTAGATCCAATTTGCAAATCAAGTTTTTCCCTCCTTGTTTTTCCTTCTCCGCCACACATTCATTTGCCACTAGAATTTGGTCAATTATTTGTCTTCCTTCCACAAAAGCTCCTTTATTTTGAGATATTACCATAGACAACATAGTTTTAAACCTTCCCGCCAAAACTTTAGCTATGATCTTGCACAGGCTATCAACAAGACTTATGGGCCTATAATCCATTGGAGTTTCTTCTCAAGCACTAGGACTAAAAATGTGGCATTTTCTCCAAGTGAGACTTGCACAGGCTATCCACCAAGTCATCTTCTATAATTTCCCAACAATCTTGATATAAGGCCATCAAGAAACCATTGGGCCCTGGTGCTTTAGATCTTTCCATTGAAAACATTGTTTCATATATCTCTTCTACACTGAAGCTTCTCTCTAGAATGACAACATGGACTTCTGGTAACCTAATCCAATCTAACTCCCCCAACTCTGAACTTCACTCTCTCAAGGAAACAAAGATTGATATGAGGTGCTCCAAAAAAATGTTTTGTTATTTCCTCCTCCGAAGTTACCACCCAACCTTCAACCTCTATACTAGAGATCAAGTTTTTCCTTCTTTCATTTGACAAAGAGTAAAAGTATTTTGTATTTCCATCTCCTTCAACAAGCCATCTACATCTTGATTTCTGTCTCTAAGAGATTCCCTCCTTTCTCAAAATCTCCTCTAATTCCACTTTTACATTCCATCTTTCTGATCTATCCTCCAGACTAATCTCTCTTAGGGCTTCCTTTTTGTCTAGCTCTCAATCCTTTTTGCAATTCTCTCTTTTGATTCTTCAAGTCTCCCAAACTCTTCCTTATTCCAATCCTTGATTTTTCCTTTTAGTCTCTTCAATTTCTTTATGAAACTCACTCCTTTGTTGCTCACATTGATTCCACCTTCCACCCACCACTCTTTTATTTTCCTGATAAAGTGGGGTACTTCCAACCACATATTTTCAAACATGAAAGGTGTAGGGCCCCCTAGATGGGTATCTTGAATTCTTGATCTAGGCTCAAAGGACAATCGTTAGAGATTACCCTAGGGAGTGCTTTCAAAACTACATTTCCCCCCACAACTCTTCCCACTAAATAGAGAAAAGGAATCTATAAACTTTGAACAAATTTGGTTTTCCTAGAAGTTTGACCAAGGAAGCTTGAAGTAGGGGGGATCTTTTAGTTCTAAAGACTCAACCAAGGTATTAAACTTCTTCATACTCGTGGTTATGGTCTGGTTTGGGTTGTTTGTCTCATTTGTGTATCTTATGATGTCGAAATCTCCACCAAGACACTATGGACCTTCCCATAAACCCCTAATTACAGCTGACTCCTCCCAGAAAGAGTCCATTTCTCTATATGAGTTTGGGTCATACAGATTTGTTAATACCCACTCTTTTCCACCACTCAATCTTTTTGCTTTTATTGACACTGAGAACTGACCAATCACTTCTTCCTGACTTCAAAACTTTTATGGGTTTATTGGCAAAAATTATTAAAGCTTTCCAATGCAACTGATTTAAAGGCAATTTGGTTATAAAAATTAGCAAAACTGAACTTTGTAAAGGGAATGCTGAATGTACAAATACAAACTTCACACAAGGATCCAAATACAAAAGCCACTTCATGGTGTCTGAATATCCATGGTCTCTCATTTCCATCTCTGAGCCAAAGAATAACTACCTCTAAGTCAACAAGTAGAACTTCGCATTCTTCTTTTTTGGTCTTTGGCTTAAGGACCCATGGTTTGAGAAGCTGCATCCTATTCCTACATGCACTAACATATAAGCTTTTATGGCACCTTATATAATGACAGCAAGAAAAGTAGCTTTGCAAAGGATTGCTATGCATGGATCATCTCACTTAGTCTCAAAAATTGTAGGTTAGCCTATTGGTTAACCTGGTAAGCTAGGCTAGAAGATGCAGCACCATTTCTCAATCAGACAACAGCTGTTCTTCAGACAAAGGATATGGCAGATGGGTTGTCCTTTCACTCACGATATAATCAGTTCTCCCAAGTGACTTCTAAATCTAGGAAGGTTGTTCCTTTTCATGATCACTTAAGACTTATTGGGTTCTGCAAATTGCACAAGGGAACACAGCAGTTTTGTAAAGATTGTAGAGAATAAATTTTTTTATGGTTTTGTGGGCTTCATACTTAGAGTTACAATAATATGTAGTCTACCTGCAAAACTTTATTCTGTAGTCAGGACATGCTCCATTTTCTTTAGTAAGTAGATACTTTGTTCATCAGGAAAAGAATGTACTCGATTTTAAAAGTCAAGCAACTAAACTAACCACCGAATTGGCCAAGTTGCTAAAACTGGCTGAGTGTAGAGTGTGCAAAGCCAACTTCCCAAACCAATGGAGTTCAAACTTCTTTCCAAATTCAGACACGTAAGGTAGGCTGCTAAAAACCAAAGCTAATTTTCGTACAAATATACTAGGGTCAAACTTGAACTAGAAATGAAATTCAGGTCGACATTGCCGAAAAAACAAGCAATAACACTGCATAGGATAGCAATAGTTTTTCCATTTTCGTTTTCCAAATAACATCCTAAGTCAATGAAGAAACGAAGACTTACCGAAACAATGGAACCAGGGAAGATAGAACAAGCAACCATGGCAGACTCGGAAAGCCAAATTGTAGCGGTATGACCACTGGTCTCAGCATCAGTGATGCGGCCGATAAAAGCAGATTTGGAGATCAATGAAGGGTACTTGATCGAAGCTTCTTCAAGAGCACGCGAAAGCTCGTTTTCGCTAACTTCTGGTTCTGGAACAGACGTTAATGATGAAGATGGTGGTGTCTGAGGAGAAATTTCCGACTGGTCTGAAGATGATGAGAGCTTAGATGGAGTTTTTGAATGTCTCTTGGACTTCGGAGGCATGATTGCTATCTCAAATCCTCGCCTCTGTTCTAGTGTTCTATCGCTTCTCTCTTCGCCTTTTTTTCGTCACAGGGGCGCCTGCCAGAACCGTCAAATGTGTCAGTGTAAAAGGCAAACCGGCCGAATGCACCTTTTACACTCTTCTACGTTTGGAAGAACGGTGTGAAACATCGGTGGATATTTTATACGCGTTTGGAGTGAACAATGGGGTGAGCTGGTGTAGGAGGCGAAGGCATCTCTGATCAACGACTACATAAGGCCAATGGTGGATCTGTTGGAGGAACGCCGACCGAAACCCAACCTGTCAACGAGTTTGGTCATCTCTCTGTGGTCTAGATTAGAGTTAGAAGAGTTGGATTTCAGAGAAGGGAAGACACTGCACATGGGTCCTCTGGTGAGTAAAATATATTGCCTGTTATCAGCAACATAAACAATGTGAGGGTTCTGGTGTCTGTTCCAGAGAGTGTATTAGACAAGTTTGAGTATTTCATGAAAGGACCAGCAGCAGAGAGTGAGAGGAAGAGGAAGAGGAAGAGAGAGAGAGAGAGAGAAAAGGAAGGAAGTGAGGACAAATACTGGCAGGGGAATACCTTCGCTTGGGCTAGACTTGCAAATGCGTACTGAGCCTCCGATACCAGAAACAGATTTATGGCTATCGGCTAACAGATGAATGCGTATTTGTTCGGTTGGGCTGGATTTACACCGATGTTCACTAGCGCTTTTTTTTTCCTTCTGGGTCCTCTCCGGCTCTCCCTTCGGAGGTGGGGTTCAGATCTGCCGCTGCAACTGACGGAAAGAGAAAAAAAAAGGGGGAAGAAGAAGAAGAAGAGAGAAGGAGAAGAGAGAGAGCGAGAGAGAAGGAGAAGGAGAAGAAGAAGAAGAAGAGAGAGGGAGAATAGAGAGAGAGAGAGAGAGCGAGTCCGAGCAGGGTGAAAAAAAAACCGAACCGATCGAAATCGAATCGAAAAATCGGTTAAATGAACCGGTCGTTTCGGTTTTAGTTTGATGTTTTAAAAAAACTGACAGTTTTGATTTGATTTCGGTTAACTATTTAAAAAAGCGGCGGCTAATTGAATCGATCGATATATATAGTAATATATATTTATATAATACTATATATTATATTTTAAATTTTTTTTTGAAAATCGAATAAAAAAATTCGATTTTCAGCCTTTCTCTTTGAAAATCGAACATATCACTGGTGCCAGACTGGGCTGTCTGGCCTTTCCAGACTGCTCTAACTGGTTTTCGCTTTTCAACCTTGTGCTTGATTCAAAGAACATTTGGCGGCGACCACAGCTATCCCGCCTAAATCAAATTCCAGCACAAGACTACTTAGACTGGCAATCCAATGAACATTGAGCATGGACGGAGACCTAGAAGGATAGAAATAAAATTTGTCCTATCCAGATACAGACCAAATGAAATGCTGACCACCTGAAGCAGCCAATACGCAACAGCCAAATGTTGCCATGAATTCTACTCAAACTGGCAGACAGGTTCAAATCTGAAGTAGCCGATACCACCGCTTATCAATCACCATCAACAATCCCACCTTTCTAGTTTGGTGTTCAAGATTTACTTCAATAGCTTCTCTCAGCGTCTTGAACCCAGGAAATGCTTTTCCACACCATAAACGATTTTTACCCTTTCCAGTTTTCATCAAACATAGGAACACCTTCGACTGCTTCATATATGACTCTCCGTTTGTTCCACCATGAATGAGAGATGCTAAGAGAAGGTCGACCGGAAAGAGGAGAAACTAGGCACTCTACAGTCGGCTAGAGTTGTTGTTCATCTTAACAACTATCTCATTCTCTGTTCTCTCTCTCTCAGACTCTTCTTCTTCCCCAACGGGTCAGACTTACTCACTGTTCTCTCTATCTCTCTCTCAGTCTCTCTCTCTCACCTGACACTCACTTAGAGTCTCAGATTCAGTCTCTTCTCTCTCAGTCTCAAACTGAGTCACTCATCTCTCTCAATCTCTCATCTCTCTCAGTCTCTTCTGCAAGAGGTTTTTTTCCATTTTTTTTAATTTTCAGTGCATAAAAAAACCAAAAAAACTGAACCACGGTTAACCGGTTGCATCAGTTCGGTTTTTGTTCGATTAAGTTTAAAAACTGAATAAGTCGGTTCGGTCTAGAAAATCACCCCACGATTTGGTTAACCGAACCATGAGCACCCTTAGAACTAGCAATGTATTTATTACATCAATTATCGATGTAAACCTAAATCAAAATGTTTTGTAAAATTACATATTTACCAGGGTGTAAAATTTACCCCAGTTTGATTTTCTACCCCAAACAAACGTAGCCTAATGGTTTTACGAGCCCAGCCTAAACAGTTGAAACTTGAAATTGTGCTCTGGAACTCGTAAGTCTCGCATGGCTGTCGATGGGTCGGGAAGACCCAGAGACCCGGTGGTATGCTCTATTGAGAGACCCGGTGGTACGCTCTATTGAGGGGCAGATCCAAACTCCTCTCGCTACAGCATTTTCCCGCCACAAAGCTTGACTCCTAATTTGCATAGCATTGACCAAATGCCTAGTGAATAGTTTAACATGGCCCTCTTAGCCAAAACAGCTTGGAGGCTTCTTACCCAACATTAATATGATAATATCATCCTTGAGTCGTCTAAATTAAGAAGATGTACATGTACTTTTCAAATAGTTCAATCTTTCATGCCCAAGCTAGGCATAAGCCATCTTGGGCTTAAAGACCTTTGGATGGTTCAAAGAGGGCTATCAATATCTGGGAAGACCTTTGGATTCTCACTTGCCAAGCTACCCACTGAATTGCGTGTCTATTCTAGGTGGTGTTTGGAATCGTGTAAATCTCGTGGATAGGACCGTCTATGGGAATTGGTTGCGTTCGGCTAGGTGTGGACGGGACCGGTCTTGTCCACAACCCAATATAGCATGGGCAGGTCCTGTCCACACCCCAATTTCTCATCCATGGCAAAATCTCGTGGTTAGGGGCCATCCACACTTGATTTTTGATCCCCTACTTCACACTTTCCCTGAAAGGCTACCCTATTGTTTGTTTCACATTTTAATATTTTTATCAATAAAATATTAATTATTTTACTTATTTTTTAAAATTTTAACGTTTTATCAATAAAATTATATTTTAAATATTTAAAATATATTTTTAAAATTTTTAATTATTTTACTATTGTTTTTTAAATTAATATCTATAGGTTAATAATAATTCATTGATGCATTTTTCAATATATTTATCATATAAAATGCAAAAATTAGATATTTATGATTAACTGTGTAGATCAAGGTTTTCGAATCGCCGTTGACCCGAACGGTCGGATTGTTCAGCCAAGGAACCGTCCAGGCAAGCAGTTCCATTTTACCCCAAACATGGTTTTGGCCAAAAACCGTTGAAAAAGTCAACAACCCGTTGACTTGAGCGGTCAAATCGTCAACTCGGACGGTCAGATCGTCGACCCAGAAACCAGTGGCCAAAACAGTTCCATTTTCGGGTCATTTTTTAAAATGTTGGTGTAGATCATTTATAAATGTATATGAGATAATGGAATCAAAAAGTATGGTGTGGACTGCCTACAGAATGGCCACTGTGGATGTGGACTGGTCCAGTCCACAGTTAAGAACAGTTGTGGACTGTGGTGTGGTTTGGATTGGTTCCTACCACAGGGTGTGGTGTGGACCAGTCCACACCCACCAATTTCTAATCCACACTACAAAACACCCCCTGATCTCGAATCTTATAAACTAGCATACTTTGCAATGGGACCTCTTTGGCTTAGAACTCTCTTCAGTCTTCACTATGGGGGGAAATTGCTAGAATCACAACCATTTCTTTTTGTCAACAACCTATGGAGGACAAGCCATCTCTGCCTATAGCAAATATGGTAATTATAGCACAAAATCTGGTTATTAGCTCGCCTGGAAGCCATAAAACCTAGAGGATGGCTTGTGTAATACTAGCCAAAGCCCCAACAAAATCTGGAATCTAATATGGTCTCTCAAGGTTCCACTAAGGTACAATTTTTCCTCTAACACTATTGTAATAATGCCATTGTAGTTTGAAGTTTTATTCACAGAAGACAAATCACCAACTTTGCCTCTTGTCCTAGGTGAGATTAGTCCCTTCAAGACATCTATCATCTTATTCTATATTGCCCTATGGCTCATACAAACCTTTAGAAGTGATAGAGTTCAAGTCCCTCACATCTAGACTTGTTCATAGGTCGGTCTGGGACGGGTTGAGGCCAAGCTTTGCCTCTTTATTAATAGAAAATGTCCAAGCTTGAGGGCAAGCTTGGCCCTTATATAAAGCTTGAAGCCTGGTTTGGACATAGAAACACTTACTTTTACTTATGGTGTAATATTATCGGGTAGGGCTTGGGCTTATTTTAGAAAGCTTGAGCTTGTCATGGGCCTAAAATTTTGTCCAAACTCGATAAAAAATGGGTAGGGCCAGGCCAACCTACTGGGTTACCTAACCTATGAATAGGTCTATTCACATCTCAAACCGGACCTCATCTTGGTCTACTAACTACCAAACTCTCTTTTCTTTGGCCCTTAGGGTGGTTACATGAGAAATGCCCTAGAAATCTTTCAATGATAAGGTTTTCATGGATAAAGACAACCCTCCTCAAGCAGCCATGCAAAGAGTTTGAGCCTTGATAATTAAGTTTTCTCCTTTTTAGAGATGCCAATGATCAGGCTATATCCCCTAACCCATATTCCTTTCGAGCCTGCCGGATTTGGCAATAGATGGTCTCATCATCCTATGTGATACAAGTTTTTTTGAGATTCGGGGACAAGCAAGTATTGCCTACATCATATACTCTTCAACAGGAACTCCTATCCAAGTGGAGGGAGTCCCTATGAGATGTCTCTCATCCCTTCATGTAGAATTGAAAGACATCAGGATGGGAATTTCTTTGGCATCCTCCTTGTAAGTGAGTCATCTTCTGATTCTTCTCCTACTCATAGACTTGAAGCAAGCCATTCACCTTCTTGCAGGGCTTCCCCCTTAGTAGTCTTCATAGGACAATTTTAGGTATCTTCAGTTGGATTAGAGTTGGGGTCTCCTAAACTTTTAGGCACATTTCTGTATCATTTATAAAAATGATAATGGTTATCGTCGAAAGACCTAATTTTTTTATTTCCACTATTGTCCCTTAGTTATCATACCCGGGTTATCCGATTATTTATTTCCATTATTACTCCTACTATTATCCTTCAGTTATTATACTTGGGTAATCCGATTATCTATTTCCATTATTACCCCTTTTTAGTCATTATTATTCCAATTACAAATCTACTTCTATTATTGCCCCTTTAGTTATTGTTATTCTAATTGTATTTTATTATATTACATATAGTATTTTATATTTCTATTATTGTCCCTCCTTAGCCATTGTATCCTAATTTCTCTATAACCATTATATATTTCTAGAAACTATAATAAAAATGAGGATGGTAACAATGTTTCCTCAAAAAGTTTTATTACACTTTCCCTTTTTATAGAGATGCAAATTGATCGGATCGGATTCAAATTAGGGTTATCCGAATCCAATATGATAAAGTATAGGTCCAATCCAACCCAATCGAATCTCATAAATATTGATTTAGATTCGAATTCAATAAGGATGTTGGATATTCGAATCTGATCCAATCAGATTTATTTTTCTTAAATCATAATTTTTTTAAAAAGGAAACATAACAATTTAAATAAAGAAAAACAAAAAAATGAAAGTATTTTTCAACTATTTTCATCATATATACATGTTTTTATAAAAAATAAATAATATAAAAATTATAAAAATATAATATCTCTACCATTTATAAAAATGAGAATGGTTATCGTCGAAAGACTTGATTTTTC